ACGTACCCCCACCTTATCCACAACATGATTACGTACCTCCACCTTAGCCACAACATGATTACGTACCCCCACCTTATCCACAACATGATTACGTACCCCACCTTATTCACAACATGATTACGTACCCCGACCCATGATGATCTGGTGCAATATTGCCCGCGCTGCCAGTTGGCAAATACCCCTGAGGAGCCCATTTGTGCCCGAAAACGGAAAGTCAGTTCTGCCGCCGGAGAACTTCCTCCATCGGTAGTCTCACCACGGGCACAATTTCTCAAGCGAGACGGTCATTCCAGCACCAAAAATGTTGCACGGACTCTTCCTGCCAATCGCCACCCAAGATGTTGCCTGCCCTCAGCGCCTTCAGGGGGGAGCCTGGATTAGGCGCTGGACTCGTTACTGCCATTCACACCAATGCCCTCCCTCCCTCCGTCTGGGAATCACCACCAAAATTACCTCTCTCCGTCTGGGAATCACCACCAAAATTACCTCTTTCTCCATATCCACCTGGTGATGGGGATTGCAAGATGAGGCTGGAGCCATAACAAGGGGAGGCAAGCTTCTCATGAAAGGCGATCTGCGCTGGTACCTGGTTCCACGCCCTTTTGAACAAATCGTCATTGGTCTGCGGCTCATCTCGTCCACTCGTTGCCTGTCCCATCCAGAGCAGAAATAGCGGGCGGCGCGGTCCGTAGACTTCTTTTCTTGGGAATGGAGATGAAAGTTGCAACTGTAAAAAAGCCAGTTTCTCCCCACCAATAGATGGAGCCTCCTCTCCGCAGGTGCTAGTGGTGTCTGCTCTACTCAGCATCCTCTCTACACCTCTCATCTTGAAGTATCTAGCCGCAGTTAGCGAGCAGAAATGGCGGGCAGTGAGTGGGAAAAAGAAAAAGGAAAAAGAGAAAGGGAAAGGGAAAAGAAATGGCTGGCAGTGTGATTGATGCCCAAAGGGGGTCCTTTTCTTGGAAATGAAGATAAAAAGAAATTTTTGAACTTGCACAGCCAGGTTCAACTCAACTTTCTCAGTCCGCTAAAAACCTCTCGTGTTGAAGTTGAATCATGGAACCCCAGTCAGCGAGCAGAGCAGAAATGGTGGGCGGCGTGACGCTTTTTGGCTTCTTTTTCTTGGAGATGAAGACGAGCAGGGTTCACTGGCTTTGGCAAAGCCAGTTTTTTTCTAATTCACCTTCCTCAGCACCCTAAACCTCTCATCATTTTTTTTTTTTTTTTTTTTTTTTTTGAGAAAGGCCCCATCTATTGATGGGGAGCATCACCTGCTCATCTTGAATTTTCTAACCCCAGTTAGCGAACGGAAATGGCGGGCGGGATATGACCCTTTGGGTCCTTTTTTTTGGAGATTTTTTAGACGAGTCTTTTGTGACCCCCCTTTGGGTCCTTTTTTTCTTGGGGATTTTTTTGACGATTTTTCTTCATCTTTCTAATGCCAGTTGCCGGAAATCCGACTTCTTCAATCCCTTAAACCTCTCATCTTGAATTCTCTATCCCCAGTCAAATTTAAATGGCGGGCAGCGCGGCCCTTCGGCTTCGACTCCTTTTCTTGGAGATGAAGATGAGTCTTTTTGAGTTTCCAACTTTCTGAAGCCAGGTCCGAGTTGGACTTCTTCAATCCCCTAAACCTCTCATTTTGAGTGATCTGACCCCAGCTACCTTCTTCCCCCGAATACAACGTATGGTCATTATAGCTATATTTAGATTGAAAGATACCCCAAAGACACCTATAATGACCGTACGTTGTATTCGGGGGAAGAAGGTAGTGGGGTCAAATTTCTGTTGCAGGATTGGAGTCTCAGATCTGTGACGTACACGGGGGGGAGAGGGGGGGTTGATTTCAGAATCAGGAGGGCTCTGCGGTTTGGATCAAATGCCACGCTCCTGATAACGTCGTCACCCGAATAGAACGCCTGGTCATTATCGCTGCATCTGGACCTGAAGTTGCCCCAAGTTTGTGCAGCTATAATGATCTGGCGTTCTGTTCGGTTGAAGAAGGTCGATCTCCTAACGGGATAGCTCGAGAAAAGTTCCATTTTTAGTTTGCAGACCCCTTTAAAAACCGCAGGCTGTTTTAAAGAAGGTGCGGCCTGAAACACGAACTGTGGAAAGGTAGGTCTGTGGGGGCTGTGTGACGCGTACCCAGTTAGGCATCGTCACCTAGGCAGCATCGTCACCCAGTTAGCATCGTCACCGGTATGAGGTTATTATTAAGGAAAATTATTGAAATACCCCTAGAAGTTTGGGTTATATCTTCAGATACCCCTAAAACACAGGGGTATGCTGAAATGCCCCAAACTTCTGCATCTGCCCCCGTCCAGCTCATGGGAAACTTTGCCATATGCCCTGGCCCTGGGATGCAGGGGCCCGTGCTTTTCTTTTGCCATCTGCAGGGTCCAACGGCCAGAAATACCAGGGCATATAGACAAGTTGCCCAGGGGCCGGTGGGGGTATATGCAAAAGATCACAGGTCCAATCGGCGACTGGGGTATTTCACAAAGATTCGCTACTGTCATAGGGGCATTTCGACATACCCATGCCGTTTAGGGGTATCTGACAAAATACCCCAACGTTCAGGCCCTTCAGGGGCATTTCAACAATTTCCCTTTATTATTATTATTGTTATCGAGTAATGGATAAGGTTGGG